ACGTACAAACACATTTCTCTTTGAAGCACAGAATGGCAGATGTTAACAATACTTTTAAAAAAGTTCAGTAGATAGTCATTCCAAACACACTTATCTCAAAAAATATGTTTATAGAATACCCAAAATATCGCATTGCATTTTTAGGCATTGAACATATTAAAAATACTATAAACTAACAACCTGAATAAACTGTACATTTCAACAACTTGAATAAACTGTAAAGAAGTTAATCAATTATTGGTTGGAGAGTCAGGATTTTGAGGAAATGGATGATGATACTTTTCAAATTCAATACACTGTCTGTTAGGACAATTCACAAGATGCTGCAGGTACGCCTCAGCTTTGATTCTATGAGTAGCATTGTAAGGACATATTTTTAATACCACATGGGGATAGTTTTTTTGACATTTTACAAGGTGATTAGGAAATCTCATTCTTGGCACCAGATGTGAGGGATTGTAGGGGCACTGTGCAACAGTTTCAGAGTTCCAATGTTCAGCCATTTCCCCTAAGTTTTGATGAAGTTGTTTTTCAGCGTAATGAATCTGCGAACATTTCAAAACAATAATGGTATAATTAAGTAATTTTGTTCACAGGCATCATATTGACGTTTGTTTTTTGTTATGACGCAACATACCACCCGTAACCTAAAACTTTGGGTCAGGAAACATCTGTTTTAAAAGTATATAAGAATGTAGTTGTATACTTAAAATCAAGACGATGAAACTCAATTTCCAATCAATCTTCTCAAATCAGTCACGCTAGTAAAATGAATTCTTTTCAGCTCCGAACTATCCATGTACATAACTGAGAAAATACATAATAAGGGCTTCCCTGGTGTAAGGTTTCCCAAAAAAACCTCTTAAAATGTACTGCACATTTTAACTAAAGGCACAACCGTCACAACATACTTTCTAGCACTCTTCCAGCACTTTTCACTTTCGAAACGAAGTCTTCAATTCGCTAATACCATCCTCACCTCAGAGTAAAACACGTTTGCTTTGCAGAAAGATAGTATAAACGTATCGTACGTAACACTATCAGATAACTATATAAATTATTTTTAAATATTATTTTATTTACAAGGATGTCAGAACCTCGTCCGAACCGTCAAATCATTGACGACAAATTCCCCGCGTTCATTCGCACATCGTACACACATTATACAGAAAAATATGTACGGCTCTTCCGGTTCTAACCAATAAGCTTTCGAGTTATACATGACGAGTCCTGGGAAGGAACTTTAAAACGTGATTTCCTTTTTGGTCAATTTGGATCGAGTTTTTGAACGAAGAATTGAAATTATTTTTATTAATTTGTCACTAATGTGACTGGGAGGCATTGTGTCATCCCCTTCAATATAGAAATAGTTTACTAATTAATTGCAAGTTTACAGTTTACTATATTTTATATTGCATGAAATATATTAATTAATATCTTAAAACAAATGATAATATAATAATGCGTTGCGATGAACAAGTTTGCATATGAATATTATGATTAATTACTGTACATAAATTACAAGAATTGCAAATAAAGTGTTCTCCAAATCAGGAATCTGTCGTAAATGTCACCCGAAAGGACACCAGAGTCAGACCGTATTTACCGGAACAGTCCCTTTTTCTGTGTCCTTGTCCCGTATTTTTTCAAGATGACTAAAAGACCCGTTTTTGTGACAATGTCGGTATAAAGTGCCGTCAACAATTTTAAATTTATCCCTACACAGTATTCGAGTAAAACTTGAGTGTGCGTGTATGCGCGAGTCCGCCTCTCGTGGCCAGACCACTTCCCGTGCACCCACAGAACAATAAACGATAAAGGATCGTGCACCAGTCGAGATGTATGAGATGTCATTCGACACGTCTCGGCCTTCTGATGGGGAAATGGCAATTTGTTTTCGGATCCGGCTAGAAGATTCAAATACATTTCCAGAGACGTGTTTTTTCGTGTGTTGGCGTTGCAATCTTGGTGATAATATCGGGTATTAAATCAACGCCTCCTAAATTGATCAATGTCAGTGGATGGTACACTGAGTACATTGGTAAGTCTAATGTCGGATCAATGTTGTTTAAACACCAGTACCCAAAGGCATTTTTAACTTAATACGCCATAATTTTCTTTTACGTTGACGACATTGACGTTGACATCTTTACTAAGTGGACAATTGAATTTTCAAGTAAATCGCGTTGCAATTTAATGTCAATTTAGATTTGAATTATTATATTAAAAAAAATAAGTTGCGAAAACCTTTCCATTGCATTGCATTGGAATTTATTAAACTTGATGAATTCCAAGTGAAGATGGAGAGAGCAAACCTGAGTAATAATGCTAGAGAATGAATGCACGTTCTTATGTTCGACTTCGCACTTTTCTGTTCTTACGTAAGTGTGCAAATATTGATTTTCAAATCAATGTGACCCACAACTAATTCTTATTAAACTTTCACATAAACATAATCTCTTCAAAAATTAGGGGAGAAATATATGGAAGTGTTAAGGAAATCCGGGGAAGAATTAAATGTAGTTGTTAAAGATGTTGCAGCAGAACTTAAGGGACTAATTGGGAACGATTTGTATTTTTGCATTTAGCATTTGTTTATGCAAATATGCCATGTGCATATTAGCAAAGAGCTTGAAAGCGTAAATGTACTACAATTTAACTATTAGCATGAAAATCTGCAAGTATTTGTTACGGTGATTATAATTTTTAAATTGCGATAAGATCAGTTTACATTCTGTATAGAGGTAAGATACAAGACCATTGGGTGTTGGGAACTTTTGAACATGAGTATAATATTATCAACTACGTTATACATTGGTAAGTCTAATGTCGGATACTGAAAGAACATATTTAAACAAAGCTGGACATGAAAGAACTGAAGTATGATAGAAATTTTCAACACATGAAACTATTTTTAAAACAGTTAACATCGTCGGCGACACTACATTTTACTAGTCATAGCGTATTCCGTTGGGTTTGCATTAGTTTATAAAAACGTAAGCCCGAGCAGATCGAACACACTCGTGTACCACGTAACACTACTTCTCACGTACACCATCTAACAAGTGCGTTTCATAGACTATTGAAATCAAGAAGAGTGAGATTCAGTGCGATAGAAAGGGAAAATGAGCTATCGCGTCGTCTGAGCTTATATATATATATATATATATATATATATA